CAAGGCACAGAAGGAGAGGGAAGGCCAGGCTGATACATTACTCGGCGCCCCCGCCCTTCCCCCCGGCAGGTTCGGAAGCAGCAGAAGGAGCACACCAACCTGATGGCAGAGTACCGCAACAAGCAGCAGCAGCACCAGCAGAGCTCGGCCGCCTTGGCCCTCAGCCCCTCGCAGAGCCCCCGGCTGCTGGCCAAGCTCCCGGGCCAGCTGCTCTCCGCCCATGGGGTCCAGCAGCAGCTCCCCCAGCAAGCTGGAGCCCTAGTCGGGGCACAAGGCCTGGGCCAGCAGCCCAGCCAGCTGGCAGGACAAGCAAGCAACCTGCGCTTGCCCCAGGGTGGTGCCTCCGTGGCAGCCCAGCAGGGCCTGTCCTTCATGGGCCAGCAGCAGCTGGGAAACGCAGCCCTCCCCGGCCCCTCCAACAGCTTCTTCCCTGGGAACCCCGCGCTCCGGGGGCTGGCCACTGACACCCGGCTCATGCAAGAGAGGCAGTTGCAGAGGATGCAGCTGGCTCAGAAACTGCAGCAGCAGCAAAGCATGCTGGGACAGGTGTCACAGCAGCAGCAGCAAAGCATGCTGGGACAGGTGTCACAGCAGCAGCAGCAAAGCATGCTGGGACAGGTGTCACAGCAGCAGCAGCAAAGCATGCTGGGACAGGTGTCACAGCAGCAGCAGCAAAGCATGCTGGGACAGGTGTCACAGCAGCAGCAGCAAAGCATGCTGGGACAGGTGTCACAGCAGCAGCAGCAAAGCATGCTGGGACAGGTGTCACAGCAGCAGCAGCAAAGCATGCTGGGACAGGTGTCACAGCAGCAGCAGCAAAGCATGCTGGGACACAGGGGATGCTGGTCCAGCAGCTCTCCCCGCAGCCCGGGATGCTGGGGCACTCGCAGGTGTCCATGCTGCAGCACCAGGGTGTCACAGGCCACCAGAACCCCCCGAGACAGGTACTGCTAGCACCCCATCAGCAGAGGGTGCTGGGCTCGCCTCAGTTGGTGCCACAGACCCAGAGCCACATCCCAGCCGGGCCTCATAGGGCAGGGACAAGGGCAGGTTGCCCAGCCGGGCCTCGTGGGGCAGGGACAAGGACAGACTGCCCAGCCGGGCCTCGTGGGGCAGGGACAAGGACAGACTGCCCAGCCGGGCCTCGTGGGGCAGGGACAAGGACAGACTGCCCAGCCGGGCCTCGTGGGGCAGGGACAAGGACAGACTGCCCAGCCGGGCCTCGTGGGGCAGGGGCAGGCCACCCAGCCGGGCCTCATGGGGCAGGCTGCCAAGCAGCAGATGCAGCACTTTTCACAGCACGGGAGCCTGGGCCAGTCCCCCTCCCTGCTACACTTGAGTCAGGGAGTTCAGCCTGCCCCACAGGGCATGGCTGGCAGGGAGGAGCCAGGAGGGGCCG